TTTTTTCTCTTGTGATCCGAGATGACCAATGTTCAAACTCATCCGAGCAATTTCCTAGAAAAGAATTCTGACAAAGTTTGATAATGATTGAGTAAAAAATGTGACAACTAGATTGTTAACAAGGTTTTTCCATATTTGGGCGATGTGACCTAGTTTTTTACCCCAAGTAACCCATATTCAAACTTGACCTACAAATCATCAAAACAAACTTTCAAACTAATGTTCAAGATATTTGGATTAAAACAGTAGCCACTAGAGTGTTAACAATATTTTTCTAATTTTCGTTAATGTGACCTTGTTATTCATCCGAAATGACCCATGTTCAAACTCATCCACGCAATTACCTGGACAACCATTCTGACCATGTTTGTTGAAAATTGAGTCAAAAATGTGACCACTAGAGTGTTAACAAGGTTTTTCCATATTTGGGCATTGTGACCTAATTTTTGAGCCCAGGTGACCCATATTCAAACTTGACCTACAAATCATCAACGGACGACGGACATTCGACGATCCAAAAAGCTCACCCTTAGTAAGCTCATTTGAGCTAAAAATAAACCACCTACGTTGAATGTAATGAGATATGAATTTGTTTTGACCAAAGTCCCCGCTTAATGACAGGTAACTTATAAACGTATACGTATGGTAGACAGATGCATTAATTACAAATATTTAATAAACTAACAATACGGTATTCTACCAATCGCAACTTTTCGGCCCTTTCCGTCAGTCTTTGGATAGGGACCTCGAACACAATAATATGAATACATAGAACGGATGCGGTATTTCGGCTTTATTTACGCTAAGATACTAAACATGTAAACAAACTCATCCGACCTTGGGTATTCTACACAAAATCTTTATTTCTCTCAAGACATGCACAATATACTGTGTACACGACAACATAAGGTAAAAAATATAATAGATATAAATCGAGGCACCAATCAATCATATATCCACATGGAAATTAATTTTTATGCAATAATTAATTATGTCTATTCTAATAAATAATGTCATTATCAAGAACAGTGAATGCAAAAAAATATCTTACATAATTGTTTACAGTTCATATGGCATAATACATTTTAAACATGCTAAATATGTGTGTTATTTCAATTAAAAGAAGAAGAAGAAGAGGAGGAGGAGCAGAAAAATACATGCTAAAAATATGTGTATCAGGATTTTTCTCACCAATAATTACGGGAAAATAACAAAAATTGTTTGTCCCAATATTTTCCGTTACTAAATAAACAAATTATTTCTTTGACAAATTCACAAAATTTTCTATATTTCACCTTTTTAACACGCTTGTCTTTATAAATAATGATATACGGTATGTTGTAATATTTTGCTACGAGTGTCTAACAAAAAGGAACATTCAAAGAGATAATGGAATTCATCGCCAATACCATTGTTGTAATTCGTACAAATTCTAAGATTTAGTGGGATTTTTTTGCCAAGATCCAGTTTCTACAAAGACTCTATGACTTTCTGTCCGGAAGTTAGTATTTAGGTGGTGCAATTACATAGTATTTCTCAACTTCAGATTTTGTTTTTAAAAAGTTTGTTATTTGCACATTTGCTCGAGTTTTCAGAACGGGAGTACCAATCATTAAAGGAAAGGTCAAACAGTTTCTGTTGTGTTGTAGTTTTAAGCCATATGGTGTTTGGAAACTCATGGTTAGTCCAAATACCATTTAAGTCACATGCAATTAGAATGTATTTAGTTTTTGTTAACCATAACAATTTATTCTTATGTACAGAGTGTGAGTTGTTATATTTTTGGTCGAATTTGATTTACCGCAAACCAAACAAATCGTCAATTACATTGAGCAAATGTGCAAATTACTAACTTTTAAAAAGAAAATCTGAATTTGAAAAATTAACTACTTTTATAAACATTTATTTAACGACATGTGCTATTGTTTACTTAACACTTAGTCAATTATTACCGAACGACTATTAACCTAAATACTTAATTATTATTTGCAAACGTTTTAATAATATAACTTAAGGGCTTTAATTACAAACTAAGGCAGACATTCATACTACAAAACAAAATGTTGCTTAAAGATATACTATTCTCAAATTTGATAATTGAAAATATAAATTATTGCTACACAGTCTTTTTGTTAATATAAGACAAACATGTCTTGACTTCACACAAATAAGATACGTTATGCTTTAAATATTACACACTATAAGTGGACACACAATTAATATATTGTGTCAGCCGAAAAAAACATCAAGATTATCGCCGTTTTACTCAATTTACAAAATCTCTCGACAGATTCAAACGTGGCTCCCCAGCTTTGCCGTATACAAATACGCACCGGTTTTAATTATGGGGACCAACATATTGCCGAATGGCTCCGCCTATAGCCGACTGGTTCTCATCTTCAAAGTGTAGCGCATTTGCATAAGGCAAAGCTGGGGAGCCACGTTTGAATCTGCCGAAAAATTTTGTAAATGGACTCGATGGACCAAAGGATTATGTGAAAATATTGGAAATGAAATAAAATACATGGTGACTTTGATGGTAGGTGTGCGGATTTTTTCCGGCCAACATTTTTATCATGTGTATTATTATAGACGTTGAAATATGAAATGTTTTCAAAACGGTTTATATTAAGTTTTTTTTGACATGATCAGTACATGTGATGTGATTGACAAATGTACATTTTATTTGGATTTTAAAGGCATTTTTAGCTCCACACCCCTAGTGTCTGTGAAAGCTCCACACCACAAGTGTCTGTGATATTCAGTAAGAATTTTATAGAATTCAATAAATTTCTGTAGACTAGTACAAATATTTTACTCAAAGATGAGTACTGTAAGTATATCTTTAAACTGTTTTACACTGATTCAGAGGAAAAATCATTCAATATAGTTTCGTACAGGAAAATGTGCTGCTACGATTTAAACATGTACATTTTGTACAGTTGCTTTAATATATGTCACGTTTTCCATAATTATAACAATAATAATAATCATAATTGTTTACAAGTCGTCTTTCGACATTTCAAGCAAACGTACAGTGACCTCGCTAACAACTGGACGACTGGCTTTTAGACTATACAAGCAACCGTACAGTGTAAAAACCTCAATGGATGCCATTTCATTGTCAATATTCTCTTAACGATTGTGTTCTCAGTAATTATCCCCCATTTTGTAGTTTTTAGATAGTAAGTCTTTAAAGAGTCAAAAGGGTTTGCACGAATATTAGATGTAAAACTTTTTAATTGTTGCTTAAGTGGACAAAAAAAGACATTTCTTAGAAATCGAAGTTAGAAATTGCATTGTTTATAAAGATATTGCTTTTGCCTCAAGAAACACAACGGGAAAAATATGCCATTTAAATCCAACTCATAAAAAATAAACATTTCTTAAATGATTGATCCTAACTATTTTACCGGTATTCCGCGTTTTCCCGTCTGTAACTCGCTCGCAAGCTTTAGTCACCTCCATTCAATTCTAGCCAAGAGCCAAATTAGCGCAAAAACATAATAATGATATTCATGTTGTCTGAATATTTTTTTTCAAATAAGAGTACAATGTATATAACCTGTTTTGATAAAACAAATGTATGATATCAATTTGTTAATTAAAAGCAATAATAGGTTTATAGGTACAACATTTCCTTTTTCTTATGAAAATAAATTAGATGAAAATCATAATCTGAAACAAAGACATTTTCATGTGAAAATTGATATTACCAAATAAAGGTTGCGGTTCTGAATAAAATGTTGTCATTTGAAACTGAATTTATTTACAAACAGTGTCATATTAACATGCATGTTTGCACACAAACTATCATTTTGGAATAAAAATAAGCATGTTAACATTTCGAACAACAGATACGACGACCTGGCGGAAATTCCCTTCTATACATAGCACACAAGTGCCCCCACACTCTACCGTCTACTAACGTACTGCAAGACAATATGACGGAGAGAAAGACAATAGGAAATTCTACATGACTCCACTATATCCTTAAATGGATGGGGCATAAAAACAACGTCCAATTTTCCTAATGTTAAAATACTTATTTTTCCCAACCAAGATGCACAACTACACATGCTGACCAAGAGTCCTGTAAATTTTCATGACATAAGGTCAACCTTTTGAGCTACGCATCACATAATTTGAAAATTGTTTTACTTAGTCAAGGGCAATAATTCTTATATAAAACTGAATTAGTGCACATGCAAAATCCATAGCTACACATGCCGATCAACGACTGTTAAGTTTGTTGTTTCTCGCATGAGCACTTTTACCCAGGTGCACAACTACAAATATTGACCAACATTTCTGCAGAGTTTCATAAAACTACGTCAAACTGCATCAGTCCACAACAAGATCCACAGGTGCACAACTACAGAATCTGACCAACATTTTGCAAAGTTTTCATGACTCTAGGTCAAACATGTTTTGACTCCAAGTTGAAAATTGAAAATGTTTACTTAGTCAAAGGCAATAACTCTAGCAAAACTGAGTTAGTTCACATGTAAAAGCCCAAGACAACTTCACATACTGATGAACATCCCTGTTAAGTGTAATAACTCATGTTCAAAAACTTCATGAGCTACGTGGACAAAAGTTTGAAAGAGCAAATTTTTACTTACTCAAGAGCAATAACTCTCACAAAACTGATTTAATCCAAATGCAAAACCACATATGCACACAACTTCACATACTAATCAACATTCAAAGCATACAGAGCAGACACGAAATTCTGAAATTGACTCAAGATGATAAATGTGACCTTCACCTTGACATGAGAAAGATCAAACTTGGCTCTGCACATCGTCTCATTATGGTTAAAAATTCTGCCAGTAGTTTTAAATTCCTTTCACCGGTTCAAAAAGTACATATCTGACACTAAAACTGCTAACAAATGAACGAACGACCAGGTACATAACATCATTTGCCGACTTTGTTTTTCAGGCGTATAACAAAAATGCTTACAATGATATTTTTTACAATTTAAATTGCCATACCTGTAAAGGGTGCTAATGCAAATCCTGAAAGAAGCCCCAATCCAGATCCAAATGTTGCCACCTTTACATGCGTTTTAAACTGCTTGTGTGATTTTGCAGCGTATGTCTCCAATCGGCTAGCTTCATTATCGTAAGAGCTGGCTTCAATTGTGAACATTTTTATCTCTGACTCGAAATAATTTATTGTTTCTCTTTGTTTTGAAATATCAAAGCACATCAGATTTATTTCATTTTCATGCTCTTTTTTCTCTACTCTGCAAGTTGTAATAACACTGTTGTTTTTAGCTTGTGCTTTTCGTACAGTGTCAGCCCATTCACTTAACCCTTTCCGAAGTTGTTTTACTGCCCTTTTAAATTTTTCCAAAGCAATATCATCCGGTCTTACCTTCGACAGCAATTTAGATTTCCTCATAACAACTGTGTAACCTTCGTTTCGTAAAAGATTGTTGAGTTGTTTCTCTACATTGCCCCATTGCGATGCGAGCTGTGCAATCTCGTTTTGAATTTTTGGTTCACCGGATAATTTTTTTAAAATGTCCGTTATTTGCACGGTCGTTTGGTGTTGCTTAAAGAAAAATAAATAACTTAAAATGTCACCATATTCATCAATATTCATCAGAACAGAATGATAACATTAACTATCATCACAAACTTCAATAAGATTCGATATTACACATTATATTAATAGTTTATGGTAATTTTTTCGACTCGTTGATTTTCTCGAAAAATGGAGAAAAAAAACAACAGTATTAGAGATTAGCTTTACAGTTTAAATTTATTTGAACATGACATAAACACATAGACCAACTTATATGTTGTAAACACTAAAACTAAAATATTCTGCGTTATCATATCTACTTGTTGTTTTGTGTGTGTGTGGTGTTTTTTTGTTTGTTTTTTGCAAATTCAAAAATGTCATGACCAGAAATTTTAGCTTCAAATATTTAATAAAGCGATACTTTTGAAGAGGACAAAGGAAAATCTTTTAATTATGGAAAAGTAGTCATCTGAAATGTTAGATATCGACGAGAATAAGAACAGTGTTTAGTTCATCTTTTAACGTTAATTGTTTAAAATTAAATCTGCCTACACATTTGAGGAAACGCGCACTGACAAAATAGCGGCCATGAATCTACGAATCGGGAACAATTCTTAATTTTTCCATCGAACTTACTATTTTGATATCATCTGGTGACTTGAACTACACACAGTGCAAAGGGTAAACTATTGTGAGTACTTACCGTCCCTCCCTCCCTCCGTCCGTCCGTCCGGCAGCACGCCCGTCAATGCATCGTGGTGAGCAATTTAGAGCCATCAAGGCTTATATATTGGTAAGGTTTTAAGTCGCATCGACACGTTGTTAAGGTCATGAGGCGACTTTTTCGATTTTTGGTGCCTGAATGGAACCACCGACTTTCGCTGGCAAACGCGATAGCTTCATCACGTGAAAGAATGGGAGCAATTTGTTTGAAGTTGTTTGACTTTTAATCATTCGGCAACGGGGCCCCAACCCAATAATGCCTCCCTTTTCTTGTCACATGTAATCATTATATTCTGTTTGAGGGGTCATAGTATTTTGAAAGTGGTAGGTGGCATTTTTCTTTAAAAGGATCATTGAGTTTTTATAATTATATTGTTATGATACAGAGAACAAAAACCTTATTTCACTTTGGCTAGATCAATAACAGTCTGATTATTTCAGGGGACCAGACGTTATGAAGCTTGCATATCACAGACAAGCTGTCAAAAGACAAATTCAAAAACATATTCTTAAGATTATTTAATAGTATTCAATAAGTAATAATGGAATCATCAAACTAAAAATAAGTCAAATTGAAGAAACAAAAATTGCCACAAACACGACAATAACTTCGTGCTGAACGATCATCAAGGATCGGAAATTTACCATCTCTAAAAGACTGAAAGACTGACTTTAAAAACTTTTCCGTGTTTTCCAAATTTCTGGTCGCTTCCAATGTATACATTTTAGCCAACAATTATAATCAATTGTTTTAACAATCCTAGAATAAAAAAAATCCTAGAATAATTTTCTAATCTTTTTCAAATAATCAAGTCCAAAGTATATTCGTTAAATCAAACACATAAAGAGTTTGATGCTGTCGCGGTCAATACAAAATTGTAACAAGAGCCATCGCCTGGCGGGGACAACGCTGGATTTTTTACTTTTTCTAAAATCAAACGAATAAACAGTTTAAACAAAACTTAAAAAAAGAAAAAAAAAGAAAAAAAGAACAAAAAAAAAACCAAAAAAAAAACAAAAAAAACAACAACAACAAAAAATAAGTTTTTTCCTTTTTTAATCTAGTCGCACTTGTTGTCTGTTCAAGTATGAATTATTTCAATAAATAAATGACTAAGTAAAGAAAATAGATACAATTAATATTCAATAATTTGATGGTCAATGTCACATAAAGGTCAAGGTCAGTTCAACCTTTGAAACTGTTTTGTCAAAAAGGTTGTTTTGTCCAATTGTGGGAAAAACATTGATTAATTACAAAGACTTTATAGCCAATTATAGCGATATCAGTGAAAATAAAATAATTTGACCTTCTATGTTAAGGTCATACATGAGTAAAGGTCAATTTAAGTTTGATATACATCTCAGAGATGTTGTATTTTAATATGAAGTTAATTCGTCTATGAATGACAAAGTTATAGCTAGTTACAGAAAAAGGAGAATTTCATTAATTTGACCTTCACAATCAAGGTCAGTGTAAGGTCACGGTCTCATCTAAGTTATTCAATATGTTTGATTGGTAGTAAGTATTGTTTTGTCCAAATTTAAATCAAATCCGTACATAAAAAACAAAATTATGACAATTTAACACAAATTCAATGATTTTACCTTCACGGTCAAGGTCATTAAAAGCTCAAAGTCAAGGTCAGTTCAACTTTTTTGAAGGTCTTGTTCAAAATGTTGTTTGTCAAAGTATGAAGATAATCCATTTTTAAGTACCAAGTTTAACTCAGTTATAGCAAAGATCAGTGAAAATTCAATAATTTTAACCTTCACGGTCAAGGTATAAAAAAACCAAGGTCAATTTGAGCTTGAAATACATGAAAGATTGGTATGTTATAATAAGAAGACAATCCATTTAATCATAACAAAGTAGCCAGTTACACAAAAAATGAAAAAAAATCAATAATTTGACCCTCAAGGACAAGCTCATTTATTAGTGAAGGTCAATGTTTGTTTGGTAAAACTTTAAGGTCTACCCTAAAATATTGTTATTCTGACGTTTGAAGACAATCCATTCATAAATAACAAAGTTATAGCCAAAATAGTAAAAAGTCAAGCAAAAATTAGCGGATAATATGTTTGGACGGAACGAAATTACTCTGGTCGGTTGAAAATCATGGACAAATACTAATAGTTTAACGGCACAGTGTAAGGTTCTGCTCTCTTCTTCTCGGCGAGGAAAATGTGCTAGGGTAAGTGAAAACTGTACCTAGGTATTAAAAAGCATAATAAAACTAACTGACATTAACTGATACTTCGCTTTGTATATATGTTTATGAATATGAGATTTGATATTTCATTGCTAAACATTTCATTCTTTTTATTTTATTCATATATATTCACGATATGATATTCACTATTGCAGTTTAGTGAAAATGATTAAAAATATACAAAGTCCGTAACTTTGAAACAACCCCTCTGTCCCTCAGAAGGAATATGACACTCATACGGCCATACCTGCTTAATCAGGGCTTTCAAACCTTTATGTTTCTTATGTGTTCAATGAGGAAATATGCGTTTAAGATATTAGCAGACATTTATTTTCTGTATAAAAAGAGCAATTTCTTTAAATACGTTACGTTTTGAACACCCTTCTATCGGTCAATCTTAGTAATGTGACGGATATAGCTATATTTGGCACTAAAGACCAAACATAAATCTATATTTATCAATATTGTAAATGCTTCAAATAATCGTATAAGAAAATTCACGATAGGATATTTACTATTGCAGTTTAGTATTATCGCACTATCGCATTGTCACCATCGCACTATCGCATTGTCGTCCTCTGTCATATTGTCGTCATCGCACTATCGAACTGTCGCATTGTCGGCCTCTGGATTATAATGTATAACTACGATGGCACTAACGGTATTCCGTAGTAAAGCTATGACCAAACATATACCTACATTTATCAATGTTGTAATTGCTTCAAAAATTCGTACCCAAAAATTAAAAATGTGATATTTACCGTTGAAATTTAGTGAAAATAATAAAGAATATATACAAAGGTCGTAACTTTGAAAATACCACGGAATGTGACAATTATGCTGCCATACTAGCGTATTTAGGGATTTCATATTTTTACTCAATAAGGAAATATATGCGATAAAGATATTAGCAGGCACAAATTTTCTATATAAATAAGAACAATTTCTTCCACGTAACGTTTGAAAAATCCCCATCGATCAAATATCTGACAATTTCATGTCTGCTCTTTAATTCATATATGCCTATAAGGATTTCCTTCAAACTTGGTTCAGATGGTCACCTCAAAAGACGATGTCCAAAACCTTTGCCAATTTAAGGTCAAGTACACATACGTTGTGTCTCAATATATCACATTATGATTTTTGGTACTATTATTATTTGAAGCATTTACGCATAGGTATATGAACCGAATATCGATACACAACGTCGCTATACTTGGTTTGACCGATAGGGGGTGTACTTAAAGAAATTGATGTAATTGATACAGAAAATTAGTATCGCTAATATTTTATTCGCATATTTTCTCAATGAATATATAAGAGACATAAAGGCCAGAAAGCCCTAAATACGTTGTTATGGCAGTATTATTATAACTGACACATCCCCTCTAAAGGACAGAGCCGTCAAATTCGTATTTACGGATATGTATATATTTTTTATTCGTTTCGAAGTATATATTCTTAATCTTTTTTTACTAAATTACAACAATAAAATTGTCTGTACGATTATTTCAAGCATGTACAATATTGATAAAAATAGTCTTTAGTGCCGAGTATAGCTATACCCGTCACATTAGTTTGTATGATTGATGGCGATGTTCAAAGAGTAACGTATTTGAAGACATTGCTCTCATTGATACAGAAAATTAGTGTCTGCTAAAGTTTAATTCGCATATTTCCTAATTCAACATACGTGTATAAGAAACACGAAAGTATCAAAGCCCTGAAAAGGATGGTATGGCAGTATATTTGTCACATCCTTCTGAGGGACAGAGGGTTCGTTTCAAAGTTACGAGCTTTGTATATATATTTAATCAGTTTTATTAAAATTCAACTGTAAAATTATATTCTGAATTTGTTTCTACGATTATTTTAAGCGTTTACAATATTGATAATTGAAGGTATATGTTTGTTCTTAAATGCCAAATATAGCTATGATCGTCACATAAGTTTGTATGAACGTTGAGGGGTGTTCAAAAAGTAACGAGTTTAAGAAATGAAAATCTGCTTACATTTCATTCGAATATTTCCTCATTTTACATATAAGAAACATAAATTTATGAAATTCCAGAATAGGGTGGTATGGCAA